TACTGGACCTCTAGGGGAGAACAGTTTAGAACTGATAGAGCTATCCAGTATAAATAAAGTTAGTTTAGTTTAGGTTTCCTCCTGTAGTAACACTGGATCAATAAGAGATGATCCTTACTGGACCTCTAGGAAGAACAGTTTAGAACTGATAAAGCTATCCAGTATAAATAAAGTTAGTTTAGTTTAGGTTTCCTCCTGTAATAACACTGGATCAATGAGAGATGATCCTTACTGGACCTCTAGGGAGAACAGTTTAGAACTGGTAGAGCTATCCAGTATAAATAAAGTTAGTTTAGTTTAGGTTTCCTCCTGTAGTAACACTGGATCAATAAGAGATGATCCTTACTGGACCTCTAGGAAGAACAGTTTAGAACTGATAGAGCTATCCAGTATAAATAAAGCTAGTTTAGTTTAGGTTTCCTCCTGTAGTAACACTGGATCAATAAGAGATGATCCTTACTGGACCTCTAGGAAGAACAGTTTAGAACTGACAGAGCTATCCAGTATAAATAAAGTTAGTTTAGTTTAGGTTTCCTCCTGTAGTAACACTGGATCAATAAGAGATGATCCTTACCGGACCTCTAGGAAGAACAGTTTAGATCCGATAGAGCTATCCAGTATATAAATAAAGATACTTACTGGTCCTTTAGGTTTTCCAGAATCACCAACCTGAACAACTTCACGAGGGTGGAAGACTGAGCCAACGGAAACCTTACCGAGGGATCCTTCAAACTTTGCTAGATGAAAGAAAGACAGCATCTCACACACCCTGAACATTTTTAAATCTAAACTCTCATGACATTTCCTAGATTCCGAGGAATATATTTGACTGGCAGAAACCTAAACCTGATCACCCACAACTTCAGTATGTTTAAGTTAAAAGTTTCGTTTTATTATACAAGGCGATTTTTTTCAATGTTGAAAAGTGTTCAGAACCTAAACTCTTAAATTGCTTGCTTTGTTTTAGATTTATTTTGTAGTTTACACAGTTAGTAACCTTTCTAAATTTTACTTTTGCAATTTTACTAATTTCATTATGTTCTTTTTAGCTGTGGTGTTCGATTCCCTTCTCTTTACTTAGATTAAAATTTAGTCTAACATGCAAGTTGTCCATACTCCTTACTTGGTTTGTAATTATGGTCCCCTTTGGTCACGTGAGGTAACGTCATTTCAATGTCTTTGTTGGTATGGTTTGTCTCCAGTTCCACTCCAGTTGTATTTTGAGATCTTTCTTTAGCCAAACGACGCCTTTCGAATGTCTAAATACGGAAAGAAGAAATTCTGGATTCTGAGCATCGACCGTCAGTTTCAAATTCTGGATTCTGAGCATCGACCGATTGAACCTGCGGCCCTGTGCAGTGCTCTAACCAACTGAGCTACAAAGAGACAGTTGTAGAGCTCTAACCAACTGAGCTACAGAGAGACAGTTGTCTAACTCTAACCAACTGAGCTACAGAGAGACAGTTGTCGAGCTCTAACCAACTGAGCTACAGAGAGACAGTTGTCGAGCTCTAACCAACTGAGCTACAGAGAGACAGTTGTCGAGCTCTAACCAACTGAGCTACAGAGAGATAGTTGTCGAGCTCTAACCAACTGAGCTACAGAGAGACAGTTGTCGAGCTCTAACCAACTGAGCTACAGAGAGACAGTTGTCGAGCCCCAACCAACTGAGCTACAGAGAGACAGTTGTCGAGCTCTAACCAACTGAGCTACAGAGAGACAGTTGTCGAGCTCTAACCAACTG